TCTCAAATAAAATCTAAGGTTTGGCTGAAGAACCAGAGCATAAGCATATTAATAAGTATTGGCCCTTTGTCTAATGGGAGTTCAGGAAGTTGAAAAGCCCATTGTCCTTAGGAAAGAAGATACATGATAGGACAATTTTTAAAAATGGGATGTAGTCTTATACCCAGCTGACAGGGAAAACTTGGTCTATGAAACAAGAGGGGTTGAATTCAGTGTAGCTCAGCGGGAATATTTCCAGACCAGAATAGTTCAGGGCTTGATCAAAATTGGTTTTCAGGTCTTTTGCATTTCAGAAAGTATACTGTATGATTTAATATAGAAATCAGATGCAATATTTATTAATTTATTTAAATGTTCTCATGAAAACTTAGGTTCTAAACTAAAAAGCAGCATAGACTTAAAATACAAAATTAGTCATATACTATTTATGTGAAAGGCTAATGTACAGATGCTATTTTTTCAGCATTATTTTATGTATTTCTCATTTTTGCATCAGAAAGGTCACAACATCAAAATTATTAAAATGTTAAACTTCTTAAATAAGATCCCTACATCCAAATAAACAAACAAAAAATCCTTCTAAACATTTTGCTGCCATGGCAACTCTGTTGTAACAGATTCTAAACAGCAGTCTTGGAACATGACATTAGTTTTTGAAGTCAAAAAATATTTCATATTTTTAATAATACCAAAGAAATTACTCTCAGTTTCTTCCATATAGAGGATACATACTGATTAGTGAAATCAGTGACATAAACATCCATACTTTTTGCAAGATAATTTGATTCCCTGTGAAATAATTATCATTACAGCCTTGTTTGTTTTTTTTTTTTTTAAATTAAATTAATTGGTATTGATAGCATCATTGTAAAGATATATGTACTAGGATTTCTTTTTATCAAGTTCTATTTGGCAATAGTTTAGTTTCATTAAAGCATCTATTTTCTTATAATGCACAATCTGTTTTACTCAGATACTTAGTTCCTTGCTTATCTACCTTTAAATACAGATATATTTTGTTTGCATGAACTATACTTAATTCTAACTCTGTGCTGCTGAAAAGGTTTAAATGTGAAACAGCTCCGTCATGGAAATGCTTGACCCCACAGCAATGGTTATTGCATGATCATTTTGAGAAATTGAAAGGGCAACCAAATGAGACATAACTTTGTTCAAGAGGGCTCAGAGACTTTCTATTCTAAGTTACCTTTTCTGATTTCAAAGCAAAACTCACTAATCCACTTAATTAGAACATTACAATTCTTGCTGAAGGGAAGGGCTAAGTGAATGACCCATGCAGGAGAAGCATTAGGTACAGTCCAGTTGATCTTATGAGACTTATGAGACAATGAAGACCAGATCTACAAAGCTTCTTAAGCATCAGAATCAAAAGTTACAGCTCGTTAAAACTCATAGACCTCTGTAACATAATCCTGAATATGCTTAAATGCTGAGTACCTTTATTCTGAAAATTAAGTTAGTCAGCCCTTGAAGACTTAAGCATCTCTGAAAGAACTTCACTAGAACAGGACTGAGTAGCTTGATTCTTATCTTGTACCTTAATTTCAGAATAATTTAAAATTAGCTTCATTTATCGTAAACAATTTAACCAGTAGATGACACACATCTTTTGTATCCTGTTCTCTGAGGTGCAAAACAAAGACCAATAATATTTTAAAAGAAAGGTAGGTATTTTTCCATAATAATCATTTAATAAATTATTTCTGTTACAATAAAACAGCAAGCCAATGAAATATGCTTTGCTGCTCCAAATGAAACTAGTCTCAAGAAAAACAAAATGTGACCTAGGAAGTTCTAAACCTTAAATAGTCTATGAAATGCTGAATAATGAAGGAGAGGGTTTTATCTCTGAAGCTCAAGAACCTGGATTTTATTCCTGGTATATATATATATGCTATATATATGTGTGTTTATATGTAAATTACAAGCCTATATAAAGAATTTTTATTAAATAGCATTTTCTGCAATACTCAGCCCTGGGTAACATGAAACTAGGGTAAATCCAGATGTTTAGAAGCACAGATTTGAGCTCATATATTTTGTCTGAAAACTTTGTTGTGTTCTATTTTCAGTCAATGGTAAATCAATAAAAAGGCTGAAATAAGTTGTCTTTAAACATATATCCAAATGAAAATTAAAATGATACAAAATCTTAATCAAACCTAAAATTATTAATTTAGACTCCCATCTTTGAATGTTATTAAAAATTAATTCAGTTTTGTGAGTTCGTAAAATGTATTCTACCATCACAATACTTTTCAATAATATTAGGTCTTTGGATTAATATGCTATTGCAAAGTTTGATGTTGACTTCTATTAAGAAGTAGGGTTATCTTTTTGTCATAATGGGATTTAATGTCAGTTTAACCAGTCTTAATTAAACTTTGGCTTATAAATTATTTTTTTGAGAAGCACAATGAAATTTTCTGAGTTTTATGGCTTTTTAATTAAAATTAATTAAGCCAACTTGCGGTTAAGTGCCTGAAAGCTAGTTCCACTACAAAGCTGTAGTCGCACAGTTTAAACTTTAGTAGGAGTCAACAGATTAAAACCTTAGAGCATAAAAATCTAGGTTTTGAGGTACCCGTTGACATTAAATCAAGCAATTAAAAAAAAAAACAAACAACCAAACCTGAGTCATTTTTTAATTTCATTATCAGTTATGTAAATGTCTTGGGTTTTGCTGCAATAGAGTTAATTTTCCTCCTAGTAGCTGCTACAGTGCAGTGTTTTGGCTTTAGTCTGAGAATCATGCTGATAACACACTGATGTTTCAGTTGTTCCTGAGTAGCACTTACCCTTATCCCGGACTTTTCCGTCTTTCCTGCTATTCCAAAGAGCTGAGGCACAAGATGCTGGGAGGGAGCAGCATCCTTCTCTCTTGTTACCTGATTATTATCATTATTACTAATGCTATTATTACTATTACTGTCATTGTCATTATTTATATAATTATTATATTTTACTTCATTTAAATTATTAAACTGTTTTTATCTCAACCCGTGGAGTTTACATTCTTCAGATTCTCTTCACATCCTACCCAGGGGTGCTAGGAGCGAGCGAGCGGTTGTGTGGTATTTAGTAGCCTGCAGGGATTGCAGGGGGTTCATCACACATTGTCTCTGCTACCTCACAAGAAATAATGCGAAGTTAATTTTTAATAGATTCTTTTAAGCAGTAACTTTCAAGAACTAGGATGTTGAAGAATTAAAATAATAGTTTCTTTATATTGCATGGAGTTGACAGAGGGCAGCATGTGACTTATGAGGGTCAGAGTTTAATTCAGATGTTTTAAGTCAAGTCTTTCACCATTTCTTTTTTTTCTTTTTTTTCTTTATTACATGTCAGTAATACTATGTTACTTCTACTTCAGTTCCTAATGACCAGTCAGTCTTTCCCCAGGCCCAGACCCAAGGAAACGATTATAAGAAGCATTAATTTGAATTTTGATATGCTAAGAACTGAACTGAGTGTAGAAGTGTAATTATCCACTTCCCTCAATTTTGATGTCTTTGCAGCTAAGTCATTAACTGATGTTTTGTCATTCCATCCCTGCTTCTCATCTTATTCTATCCAAAATAGCCTGGAAAGCTTGCCATATGAGGAAAGACTGCGATAACTGTATTTGTTCAAGCTTGAGAAAAGAACCTTGTCACTGTGTTCCAGTATTTAAAGGGTGGCTACAAAGAAGACAGAACCTTCCTTTTTACAAGTCACTTTTTACAAGTCACATGGAAAAGACAAGGGGTAATGGGTGCGGGTTACTCCTGGGAAGATTCTGGTTGGACACTTGAGGAAAGTTTTTCATAATGAGACAATCAGCGTTGGAATAATTTCCCTAGGGAAATGGTGGATTCCCCGGTGCTGGATATTTTTAAGACTCAGCTGGCCAGTGTAATGGGCCATCTTGTTTAGACTAGGGTTAGACTAGGGTTTTGCCAAGAGAGGTTGGACTAGATGACCTTTGAGGCCCTGTCCAAGCTGGTCTATGATTCTGTGTTGATTTTCAAAAAATTATGAAAGTCACAATTATCTTTTAAATATCAGATATTGTAATTTCTTCCTCCAACATTTTTTACATATTTGGTTTATAAACTTTTTTTTTTCCAGGTTTATGACTCCAGTATATACCTACTTCACTTTCTTCTTACAGTTATCTATGAATCGAGAATATAACAACACATGTGCAGTTCCTCCACAGAGATCAAGCACTCTTGGAGAAAGATACCCTGCAGAACTGTGGTTCTGGTTTGTCAAGTTAATGTAGATTAGGTAGTTCAGAGGGCGCTTAATTAAGTCCTTAGGATTCAGTCAATTAAATGAAGCAATTCTCTTTAGCTGATATCAATATGTTTTATATAGTTTATATATTTTTAACATTTTTATAGTTATTCATATACATGTTATAAATGTCCATGCTGTGAGATTTTAACTGCTGTACACAGTTTGCATGCTAGCAGGATGTAAATAATCATATCCAAATAAGGTTAAGAAATAATGCTAATTTCATGGTGTTGATCTTCCTCTTAGCCTTGTCATATGTATATATAGCCATCGTCTGGATATTGATAATATAACTGTATATGACTGACAGTTACTTAAGAAAAAGATCAGATAGTGAAAAAATACAGGAAAATATTGTATGAGCATGTCAAGATTGACAATATATTGCATGAGGTCAATTACATATGAGTTTAGAAAAATTCCAAACAGTGTGCAGATCTGCCCTAGCCTTTAGTAATTCTAGCAATTTTTAATTAAGTATTACAATAAAATCTTTATATTATTTTCTGAATATATTTGTATATGAATTACAACTACAGCTTTTTAATTCTGATCATAATGAGGTTTTATTCCTCATGAGCTGTAAGAGGGCTGGGTGTGGTAGGGATTGATTAATCTTATGGGTTTATTAGCTTTGGTGTCTTTTTTTATTTTCTTCCAGTATTATTTAATCTGATATACTTTCTTTTTCTCAGGAGAATATAATGGAAGTTACAAGAAATCAAGAATTTTTGCTTTTACCAGCTGAAGAACTCCATAAACTTCTTGCTAGTGATGATGTGAACGTTCCTGATGAAGAGACCATTTTCCATGCCTTAATGATGTGGGTGAAATATGATATGCAGAGGCGATGCAATGACCTAAGTATGCTACTTGGTTATATCAGATTACCACTGCTTCCACCTCAGGTATTTTTTAAATTATTATTTTATAACTAATAATAATATCACCGTTACTTAGAAAATTATCATCAATTTATAATCTGCAATTGCTGAATACTCTGTTTAAAAGCAAAACTGTTTAGAATTACAAAAATGAATGGCAGCCCTTCATCCAGAGTGACCTCAATGAATTTAAAGACTGGGCCAATAGATAGCCAAGAAGTGCAGACTTGTATCACTGAAGAGGAATAACCACAGATATGATAGCATGCTACGAAAGACAGGTAGAATAGTAAATATTCTCAGAAAAAAAGGTCCTGGAGGTTATGACATGTATTGAGCTGAATATGAGCCAACAGTATGAATGAGGAAAACTGCATGTTGGTCTACATCAGGAAAAATTTTCTCAGCAGGCTATATGAATTTATTCCCATAATACCTGGTGATACAAATGCTGCAGCTGGAATACTGTTTCCAATTTTTCAATCCACAGTTTGAAAGGCATATGTAGAAGCTGGAGAAGGTCCACTGATGGGCTACCAATATTCCATGTCAGCTATGAAAGGAAAGGCTGAGGAAGTGGGCTTGTTTAACCTGGTGAAGGGGAGGCTAAGTGGTGATGTAGTAGCAACTTAAGACTTCTTGAAGAGATGGTTGTGGAATCAAATTCTTCTTAGGAGCACCACAAAATAGAAGAAGAGGCTAACTCCCCAAATTGTAGTGTGGACCGTTCAGGTTGGAAATTGGGTGGGACAGAGAATTGCTTGGAAAGAAGTGAACTATTACAGCAAAGTTTTTCAGAGGCTAACCAATCTTCTTCATTGAAGATTTTCCTAAATTAGCTAGACCAGATGATCACCAAATCCGGTTTTTCTGTTAGCCCTCGTTTAAGTGAGAGCTTTAACTAGTTTATTGCTGAAAGTCCTTTGGAGCCCCCTTTCTATGAATGCTTATATGAGTCTGTTATTCAGGCATTGGTTTCCTTTTATTTTTTTTTCTTTCCTTTCACAGAAGTAAATAGCAATTTTCTTCTGTCTGGTACTCCAGATCATCATTCACCTTTCAGCTAGTGTACTGGGTTTGCTTTCTTCATGGCAGTCTGTATGGTGCTGTGCTTTGCAGTTGTGGCTAAAACAGTGCCGGGTAACACACCAATGTTTTGGCAATTGCTGAACAGTGCTTACACAGTACCAGAGCTTCCTTTCTTCCCTACTCCATTACCCCTCCAAAAGCCAGTATGTCATCAGTGGGCGGGAAGCTGGGAAGAGACACAGCTGAGATCCCAAATAGCTAACAGGATATTCCATACTGTATGACATCATGACAGTGTTCTTCATGTTCATTTGAGCACAATTACTGTTCCTTAGAGATCAAATCCTGAGCTGACAGTTCAATGAACAAGCAACGGAGTCACTGAAAGATCAAGATAGGCTAAGACTGGAGCTCACTATATGACCAAATAATGAAATTATAATGTCTATGATGTACAAAAAAAATACCCACTCTGAAAGGGATCAAGAAAAGAATGCTAGGAAGGAGATGACTAAAACAAGAACTATCATGAAGCATGATACTAAGATTTACAATCACTTTGTGTCACACTGAGATCTCAGGGAGTTGTGTGGGTTTTCTAATTTACTTTCCAATATAAAATATGCTACAAAGGAAACTGTCAAAAATGACAAAGCTAAAGGTTTGTTTGTCAGAAATATGAGCTCTTTATTTTTCAACATCTACACCGAGAATCTAGAACACAATACTGTGCCTTATTGCGATCTTTAAAGTGTTGGTTTTAATCTGCCAAGCACTTACAAAAGGTAACTTAAAACTGTTCACACACCAGCCTCACCTCTACCTCTTATTGTGTAAAAATGAGATCATGCAGGCTTTGTTGATTAATGGTCCCTGCCCTAGTTCTTAGTAATAATTTTCATTATAATTAATATCTGCAAGATCTACCACTACAGAGTTAAATGAGGCTATCTACATAAACCGGACAAAATGAATGCAACTATTTTATTTGCTGAAAATGGTGAAAAGTGGAAAATAGCAGGTTATGCATATGTATGTATGTGTGTAAGGTATGTAATGGTCTTATTCTCATCTATATTCCCTTCCCCATGAAAGGCTGGACCAGAAGATCTTTCAAAGTTGCCTCCTACCTGGTTTGTTCTATAATTCTATGATATATAAAGTATCAGCTGAAATAATTTAGAGGTGAGATTTCAAACTACTTTTATGTTCAGAAGCTTCAAATCCCACTACAAATTCTAAATGTATGGCTCATAATTTTTACTACATTCCTTCAGTCAATAGGGACTCTACCTCTCTGTGTTTCCTCTGGTGTCTCTGTGTCCATAACACATAAGGACACCCTGGGACACTGCCAACAGTACTGAAGTCCCTCCTTTATGTAACTGAATTTGGTCCACTTTGTTATATATATTCTCATTCTCAAGAGAACATCCTAGACACCTTAAGTTATCTTAAGTATCACTATCTCCCATGTTTAACACCTAAATTAAATACTAGATTTCCACTGCCTATCATAAATAAGTATAACAAATGTAAGCGTATTATTCTTTCACATCACTGACACCTACCTGTAAACTATAAAACAGTTGTGTTTACCTCAAGCTTAGTAACACTGTGTATCTTAAAAAAAAATTTTCTCATAAAACTTTCTTCAGATTCAAGTCCAACTTTTAGAGAGAACATGTTTCTTTCTGAACAGCCAGGAGGGAAGTGACCAGAGGGTAGGATATAATAAAAAAAAAATATAATAACAATTTCAGAACTGTTTGTAAGGCATTTATAAAAGAATTATTTTAGAGTTATATACTTCTGTCAGTTCTCTGTATTGTCTGTTGAATTTAATCTGAAAGTTAACTCTTATGCACTGGTGCTTGACCACTGCATCATATAAATGTTTGTTGTAATGCTAAAATGTATTTAAAATTGTTTACAAGTTAAAATTAAGATATAACAGTTTCAACAGAAAATTATTGAGTGAAAATTTACTTTTATTAGCAAAAGGTGAAATTTTCCCTACTATAGGGTATACTTAAGTATAAATCTAGTAGAACACTATCATTTCCATTGCACTGAAAATTAACTGAAGAGCTCTGAAGTCAAAATTAAAAGCTAATCATTAGATCTTCGAGAAAAAAAGAATTGCTCCTTACTTTTAAATTCACTACAAAAGATGAAGTCATAGACTGCAAAGATTAACAGATTGCGAACATTGTACTGAGGTCCTCCTAAAATGAGGGCTTAAATTTATAGCCTGAGTTTTGATGGCACCTCATTTCACTTTCAAGGTGCAGTAATTATATTGGCAATGAAGTCAGCCTTGAGTAATAGGATATCAAACAATGTAATTCAAAATTCAGTAGAAGAACTTAGGGAAGCCAATCATGAAGCTGAAAATGAAATAACAGAACCTGCAAAGTTGCAGGTTTTTCTCCCTTGATTTGCCTGAAACCATCTGCTAAACTAAAATATTTCATATTTATTCACTCAAGTCAAACTAGAAAGATTAGCGGCTTGATCAATATAAAACAAAATGTTTCATGTTATAATAAGTAATATATACATACTGTCTTTCAGTAGGTCTTCCAAATGTTTTGTATTGCTCTGTACAGAAGAGCTTCCTCCTTTCCCCAAAAAATTTAATTTACATTCTTTTTTACTCTTAAAGGATTCAGAGAGAGTAAAAATTGGTGGGAGCCTTAAACCTTATTAATGAAGAAGTATTTTAGATTATTTACTTGAAATGTTAACTTCCAAGCATATAATAAATATTTTTTCCTGTGATTTTTGATAACATTCTTCACTAAGATGACAAACCAGGTAAGAAGCAATCAAGAAATATTTTTAAGCGTTTAAGTTTTCAGTTCTTCAACAAGTAAGAAGCTATTTTAGTCTCTAAAAGTCATCACAGTTGCCCTCAATTTTCAGCAGTATTTTTGAATGGAATTTAAAAAAAAAAAGAAATCAAACATAATTAGTACATGTAGAATGAAGAAAAAACACTAAAGACAGTTTGTGGATATGTCTTTTTTAACGTGGTATGATAAACATATACATAATCACAAAATCACAGAACAGTTGAGGTTGGAAGGGACCTCTGGGGGTCATCTTATCAAGCACCTCTTTTTAAGCAGGGGCACCAAAAGCCAGTTGCCCTGAACTATGCCCAAATGCCTTTAACTCCAAGGACTGTGCCAGGGTCGAGTCACCCTCACAGTGTGTTTCGTAATGTTCAGACAAAACCTCCTGTGTTTGAGTTTGTGCCCCTTGCCTCTGGACTTCCCACTGGGCTCCCCTGAAGAGAGCCTGGCTCAGACATCTATGCACCATCCCTTCAGGTATTTCTATACACTGGTGAGACCCCTGAACCTTTTCTTCTCCAGGCTGAACTAATCCAGTTCTCTTGTCCTTTATTCATAGGAGAGATCCTCCAATCCCTTTATCATCTTTGTGATCTTTCACTGAATTTTCTGCAGTATGTCTGTGTATCTCTTGCACTGAGGAATCTAGAACTGAACACCGCATTCCAGGTTTATGCCTCACCAGAGCTGAGTAGCGGGGAAGGATCATCTTCCTTGACCTGCTGACAATGCTTTGTCTAATGCAGCCCAGAACATTTTTAGCCTTCTTTGCAGCAAGGGCACACATCTGGCTCCTGTTCTGCCAAGCTGCATTCCAGCTGGGTGGCCCACAGCATCTGTTGGTGCATGGATATATGTATGCATGCAAGTACACGTGCATATTTATTTAATTCTTTTATACTAGAATGTTCTTGTGAGCCTTTTAGTTAAAGGTGGAAAGCTATAACTGTGGAAAGATACATCCATTAAGGTCTGGCTAGGATAGCTAAAGATGTTCTCACCTTGTTCCCTGATGACGCATCATCTTATGATTGCCTTCCCCATGACACATGGTATAGTGATTATCACCCCCACAGCAGGGAGCAAAATGGTTCTTCTGAATCCTTACTAGTTCTGTGTAGGCAGATATACATG